GAGGGGAAAACTCTTTGTTTTCCCCTCAAATGGCGTGGCTCCGCCCAGCGCATGACGTCACTTCCGGGTGATGCTCTGGCGGCGCGCGTGCGCGCATCCGCAAAAGGCTCCCGGACCAGCTGGGCGCTCCCCCACCAGTCCGTTTTGAGGATTTGGCAACCCTACTTTTGTTCCATCTGGCATTCCCTCAGTGATCCATCCTTCCAAATCAACGTTTTTATGTATTCATTCATTAATTCATTCAGCTTTTAGGCCGCCCTTCCCTTCGATATAACAACATACCACAGAATACAAGACTACCAAAATTAAAAGTTAAAACCTACAATAAATAACAGATAAAACATAAAAACAGTCAACTGGCGGAACATCTCTGCCTTGCAAGCCCCGTGGAAAGGTAATAGATCCCACAGGATGCAGATGTTCTCCAACAGAGCATTCCACCCTGGTTGAGGACAGCTGGATCTCTCTCGGGCCAGGGACCACCAAGACGTTCTTACTTCCTGAGTGTAACACTCATCTGGGGGCATACTGAGAGAGGCAGTCCCAAAGATATGTGGGTCCCTGGCTGCTAAGGGCCTTAAAGGTTAACACCAACACCTTGAATGTGATCCAGTACTCCACTGGCAACCAGTGTAGCTTGCTCAGCACAGGATGGATATGTGTCATCTGAGGGGGTCCCTGTAAGGACCTGTGCGGCCACATTCTGGACCAGTTGGAACTTCCAGGTCAACCTCAAGTGTAGGCCCACGTAGAGTGAGTTACAGTAGTCGGACTGTTGCGTGGATTACCATGGCAAGGTTGGGGCGAGACAAGTAGGGAGCTAGTTGCCTAACCTGGTACAGTTGGAAAAACGCCAGCCTGGCAACCTTCACAACCTGGGCCTCCATTCATAAGGTCCCATAAGGTCCAAAGTCCCACCCAGACTCCTGATGGTCGTATGTATTTTAACTCTGTTTTTTAACTCTTTAAAAAGTTGTTTTTAATGGTGCATGTTTGGGAGGGGGGTTGATTTTAACGGTTTTTGTAATGTAATTGTTATCTTCTTTGTTTTAAACTGTTAGCTACCTTGGCAGCACTTGTAAGGGCAGAAAGGTGGGATTTAAATTTTGTAAATAAATAAATAAATGACTGTGGAGGGCTATCTTTTCAGGACACCCAGACAATGTGCAATAAAATGTTAGGAACTGACTATATAGAGAGGAGAGGGGATGGAGAGAAGGATTAAGGTGGACCATCTTTGCCAGCTGCAGAACATCTTTTATGAGGATTGCTTTTCACCTTCCCACGTCAGGCACATTATAATGCTTAAGTCAAAGGGCTACAGCCAAAAGGTGCTTGGTGATTTGGCCCTTTGCCTGTGGTTTGTAGACTGTATCTTCAAAATGAGCTAGCCAATGAAACCAAGACCAGCCCAATCTGTAGTTGCTGTTTGGATTGTTTGTTTTCTTTTTACTGGATTATTTATACATTTAAAAAAAATAAAATTGTAAGTCACTTTGGGTCCTTTTGGAGAGATAAGTGGGATAAAAGGTAAAGGTAAAGGTTCCCTTGCTCGAAAGCCAGGTGAATCCGACTCTAGGGTTGCGGTGCTCATCTCCGTTTCAAAGCCGAAGAGCCAGCGCTGTCCGAAGACGTTTCCGTGGTCATGTGGCTGGCATGACTAAACACCAAGGCGCACGGAACGCTGTTACCTTCCCACCAAAGTGGTACCTATTTATCTACTTGCAATTTCTTCCTTTCGAACTGCTAGGTTGGCAGGAGCTGGAACTAGAGATGGGAGCTCACTCCGTCATGCGGCACACTCGGGTCTCGAACTGCTGAACTACCGACCTTCCACAGCCTGCAGTTCAGCGTCTTAACCACTTGAGCCACCGCAGAGATAAGTGGGATACAATTATTTAAATTAAACAAATACTTAAGGAGCCTTTAAAATAGCAAAGAGCATTCTGATGTGTGCTTTGTTATCAGAACAAATTTGAGGGAGAGGTCTCTTTTAGAAGTGGGGATCTAAGACTAATAACTAGCCCCTCAACAAAAGAAAAGGGATAACTCCTTGCTAGGGTTGCCACAATTTTTTTGCAACTTGCAATTTGACAGCACGTGTGTATGGGTCTATGTTGTTATGAATAGTTATTTTAGTGGAATAAAACCACAAGTTTTTGTGTACTACAGTGCACTTTCTCAAGATGCATAGTTATCATCCTTACATGGTAACGTTGTATATTAATACATATAGAACGAACAAACTGTGAACAGGGTCAAAACTCAAATGTTTATAGTACTGTTCACAATAGCAGTCATTGGCGGCAGTGTTCCCTCTAAGCTGAGTTAGTGTGAGCTAGCTCACCATTCTTTAGCCTCCGGCTCACACATTTTTGTCTTAGCTGAGGAAGGAGGGCTCCGGAGCAAACTAATTTATGCCGTAGCCAAATCGCTGGCTCACAACTTTAATGCCGGTAGCTCAGAAAATAGAATTTTTGCTCACAGGACTCCACAGCTTAGAGGGAACATTGATTGGCAGTGATAATATCTTTCTAGCAATTGTAATTTAAAATCTGTAGTGTGAAAGACACACATAGCCCTAAATTAGCCTGAATTAAATAGCCTCTTATTTGCTCATAAATTCTAGTATGTTATGTACTCTTGAGCAGCCTGTATAGTGACCCCCAAACAATGTTAAACATATGTGGAAATTCTAGAAAAACAAATACAGGTCTAAAAATCAACATTTTGGAGCCCAGTTGGGGAGAAACGTACCGGTACTCTACAGGGAAGCTCAAGAGTACATAACATTCTAGACTGTATCAACATTAATTAAAATATCTACAGCGAAATATATTTACAGTGAAATTCTAACACAAGGCACACCTTTCTGAGCCCATCAGCTGCAATGTATAATTCTGGTTTTAAGGGAAGGCATTGTAGGTGACTTTATCTCTTTAAGGGATAAAGTACCCTACAATGCCTTACCTTAATCAGAATTACATATTTGAATTAATCAGATTAATCAAAAATACCATCACATACCTATTGACTCAGGAGCAAGCTGTGTCATGGCTCTTAGAATCCAAACTGAAATGAAAAAGGTGGAAACTTCCGAAAGAGATGACATTGCCAACACCGCTGTAGGTAGAGGCTCGGGCCAGGTTTTTCCTCACCCTTTAGTGCAATGAGATGCTAATCCGCACCTTGTGAGCCTTGAGTGAGGTCTTTCCTTGAGAGCTGTTGAAGAGACACTGTACAATTTCACAGGAACAGCAGAATCAACATTGCTTAGTTCAAAAGCCATTCTTTGGCCAAGGTCACTGACTGGAAACACATGATGCCCCCCCAAGCCATCAGAGGCAGTGTGGAAAATACAACTAGTGCTGACTCAGAAAACACCCTCCTGAGGAAGTGAGATAACACAGTGTTATACTGCGAGTCCTATAAACAGCGGGAAGGTTTTCCCCACACCTCTGGGGTGCTCGTTCTATGACTGTTCCTGTTTAGCAAAATGTGATTCACTCATCATTCATGCAACCTATTCGGTTGTAAACTAGAAAATAATGGCTTGCTTGTCATGTAAACTTTAGCTACCAAAGTTTAGCGAAGCAGAAATCAGGATTAATTTTTTTTGCGTTTCATTCTTAGTTATTTTATTAGTTGGGTGCATTGATGAAAGACGTAATTGATATAAGCATTTGACTCGGAAAACTTTCCTCCTTCAGTTTTCTTCATTTAAGGTTTCCCTTGCTCGAAAGCCAGTCGAATCCGACTCTAGGGTTGCGGTGCTCATCTCCATTTCAAAGCCGAAGAGCCAGCACTGTCCGAAGACGTTTCCGTGGTCATGTGGCCGGCATGACTAAACACCAAGGCGCACGGAACACTTGTTACCTTCCCACCAAAGTGGTACCTATTTATCTACTTGCAATTTCTTGCTTTCGAGCTGCTAGGTTGGCAGGAGCTGGAACTAGAGATGGAAGCTCACTCCATCATG